CTGAGAGCTGAGGTCCAGCATCAGCTGACCTTTCCCATTAGGCAGGGTCGCCTTGTGGTTCATCGCCAGTAGCCTGCTCCTGGAGGGATGGTTAATGAGGTTGGGAGTTTCATTTAAACTTTCTTTCCAAAATCCTTTTCTTCCTAGGCAAATACAAGTCAAGGGTTTCCAGATAAGCTTAGCTGGAGTGCTTTCCACTCCTCTGCAGTTTTTAAGCATGCAAAAGAAATGTGGGTAGAGATGCAGGGAGGAAAGGGCATTTTAAAATATCCTCCTGGAACAAGGTCTAGATTGGGGGGAAAGTGACCTTACAGTGATACCATGAATTCATCCTACAGACCGTCCAGGTCCACCCCAAGTTGTGAAGATTGATGATGTCTGGGGAGAGAACGTTGCTCTATCATGGACACCACCAAGGGATGATGGAAACGCTGCCATTACAGGGTACACGATCCAGAAGGCTGACAAGAAGAGCATGGTAAGATCCACGTTTCTCTGGCTCAGCAGCCGCAAAATCACATTTCATCAGAAGTAAGGGGGAGGCATGAGGTCCTCTGTGGTGAGGAACCCAGGAGGATCACGGAGGAGTGATGTGGCACCATGGAAAGGATATGGCCTTGGGAGCCACAGAGAGTTGGACTTGAATTTCCACTTAAGACCACATATATAAATGGACAGTCACTTAGCCTCTTCAATGTCCATTTCCTTCATCTGTGAAATAGGGACACTAATGTTTACTTTATTTGTTTATCAAAAGGCTAAAACAATATAAAGCAACTGATAAAACGATCAATAGAATTTCAGTAAATTCATTTATTCAACAAACATTTACTCACTCTGGATTAACTTAGATCTGCACCCATGCAACTTTTTCTCCTTGTAAAATAAATGTTAGATAGCATGGACTTACGTCTCAAAAAATAAAAAAGACATGTGTTAGAAGAGAAAGATTCTGAAGGGAATGGCATAGGAAAGAGCTTAGAATGTCCAAGAAGCAACTCAGTTGGAGTATGAATTATTATTACCCGTATTTTATAGATGAGGAAACTGAGGCACAAAAGGATAGATGACTTGCTGGATATCACCGGATATTAAATGTTAAAGTCTAGGCCTTTCTGAATGAGAATCCATCCACTACACCTACCACTGCCTTACCTGTAAGTCAATGAATGAATAAATTGATGTTTGGACACAGAATGGCATGAAGCCACTTTTCATTCTCATAGGAAGAATAAAATGTCATACTGAATGATGCTGATAGGAACTGTTTAGGCATTTATATGAGTAAATTCCAGTTAAGACTTAGGTTATAAGATTACATTGGATTAATAAAAGGGAAGAAGGTTGGAAAGAGCAGTCTAAGCAACAGGAATGGAGTTCAAGCCTTGCCTTTCCGTAAACTACTCCTGGCATGTCTTTTTTCCCCTGGGTAGATGTTCCATGACAAAATCAGATTTGGCATTTAAAGAAACGTCTTTCTGCCAAACCTGGATAGCTTGAGAGCTAGATCAATGGATGTACTGAACATCTTGGATTTCTTTGGCAATGAGGGCTCTTCTTTGGACCTTGGTCCAGATACTGGCAGTGAATCCAGGGGTACCACATTTTCACCAGGTGACCCCCATTCTCCCATCCCCACCATACTGCCTGGCACTTGTCTTCTTAAATATCTAGTCATGTCCAGGTGAGCCAGGACTTTCCTGCTGCTTCATGTATCTGAGATCTGCTTGCTGGTGTGGGAGGATCCCCAACCCCTGTGTCTGTTGCGTTTCAACAGGGGCAGACCTACAGACCAGAAGATCTCACTCTGCCCAGTGTATTTTCCAGAAAGTCACCACACCACTGTCTCATTATGGCCACAGTTGCTGTTTTTCACTTAAAGTCCTGTTTATGTTTTCCATAAACATTGTTTTCGTTTATGTGTGGACACACTGACTTATATACTCATTTCCTATGTGTTGAGCACTGTTCTAGCTGCTGGATCAAAAAAAAAAAAAAGAAGACAGCTCCTGCTCTTGAAGCACTTAACATCTAAGCAGACATAAAACAATGTAATAAATGTTGAAATAAAGGTTTGCAGAAAGTGCTTTGGAAATAAAGGAAGGCATGACTGCAATTGTCTGGTGTCTTAAAAAAAACCCAAACTACAGAGATGATCATGGCCCCTTAAAGTTGTGAGGAAAATCCTTTTCCTTTATGACCCTTTTGTTAGCAAATGTATTTTCTCAATTAGTGGTCCTAAATATATGGAGTACAATGTGATTTTTTACTGGTGGCACGATAAACTCTGAAGCCACTATATTTCTTGATGTGGTGAGGGAAAAGTTGAAAAAATAAGAATAATAGAGTTTTGGCTCATTTATGCATTCATTCAGGTATATGATGAACATTTATTTTGTGTATGGTACCTACTGTGTACCAGGTGCTGTGATAAGGCACTGGAGATACTAGGGGTGAGAAGAAAAGTCCATTTTTACCATCATTGTGTATACATTCCAGTGAGGGACGTAGAGAGTAAAGTAGAATAGTTAAGTATATGATGTGATATAAGGTAGCAAGTGCTGTGAAGAAAACTTAGCCAGGTTAGGGTGGAAAAGTGTGACCAAAGTGGAGTAGAAGGAAGATAAACAGTGAGGGAGGAGGTAATATCTGAGCAAAGAATGGAAAGAACCTACATTAATAATATTAGGGAAATTGAGTGATGTTAACTTATCTCTAGTAATTTAGCATCATCTATCCCTCAGAATAAACAAGTTGGCAATAAAAGTCCATAATTATACTTAGTTATATAAAAGATAAATAGGTAGGTAGATAGATGACAGACACTACAGTTACGAGGAAAATATAAAGGTAGTAGTTGACATTGTCCACAGAAATAATCAATAACCAATCTATGCTAAGAATAGAGGAGAATTTTATTCCAGCTAAACTGAGGACTGTAGCCCGAGAGAGAGCCTCTCAGATAGGTCTGAGGAACTCTTCCAAAAAAGGATAGTTTTCAGGAAAGCTTTATATTTTGCCAGAACAAAGAACCTCAGACATGTCAGGGGTACATTCCTTCAAGTTTTCAAAAAAAGACAGATCAGCACATACACAGCGAGTCAGTATGGCTTTGGCACCTGGGAAGGGAGCCTCATCCTGGAAAGGGTGCTATCATTGATGTCCCAGGAAGGGAGGCATTTCTTTGTATCTTCAACACAGGCATTCTTTACTTCTAGACAATACACCCTTCTCTTTAAATGGTTAAAGTGATATACAATATATGTTTAATAAGCCACAAAATAGGCTGTTCTAGTTAGCATAAATTTTAAGTTAAATCATGTATAAGCCAGAATGACTTCCCTGTACCACAATATGTGAAAATTTCTTCCATCAACATCGAGGGTATGTGAATCTAACGTGTAATGAAGATTAATTTACTTAGTCAAGTGTAAATCAATTGTAAAGTACTAAACAAATTAAATATACATCACTGTTACTCTGAATATAAAAATTAGTGCTTTTTTTTCTTTTAGTTAATGAAACATCCCTGTTATTTATTCTAATCAACAGGTAAAGTAGTTGTGTATTTTAAAGTGATTTTCCTCAAAGGATCATTTTTTTTTTTCCAGGAGTGGTTCACTGTCATTGAGCATTATCACCGAACTAATGCCACCATCTCCGAACTGGTCATAGGAAACGAATATTACTTTCGGGTCTTTTCTGAAAACATGTGCGGCCTCAGTGAGGATGCCACGATGACTAAAGAGAGCGCCGTGATTGCCAAGGATGGTGAGTTGGAAGTGGGCTGGACATCTGGAAACCTTGGTTTTCAGTGACAAGACGGAGGAAATGGAAAGAAAAAGAGATGTGGTAAAAGGAAATAAGGATATGATAAATACACACTTAAAATTATAGTAGGAGAAGCTGGATTCCATCCCTGCCATTTCATTTCCTCATAAACCACTGTCCTTCAAGCCCTTTCTCGTTATGTTCACATTAAAACACACGTTGAGCAAAATACTCAGACACTGAATTCTTCCCAATATTTGCTTCAGTTTCAGATGACCCCTCTGACTTTCTGTCCCATGAGTGATTGGCTGTACATTGGTCGCCCTCAGAATGAATGCCCTGTGGCCTTCACTTGTGTTTTTTCATGGTTTTCTAAGCTCAGGGAAGTTTTAATCATGAGTAAAGCATGCCAAGAATAATATATTCTCAGGCCAATTTGTATATTTCTAATGCTTGTTTTTAAGGTAAAATCTACAAAAACCCAGTGTATGAAGACTTTGATTTCACAGAGGCACCCATGTTTACTCAGCCTTTGGTCAACACCTACGCTGTAGCTGGTTACAATGCCACCCTGAACTGCAGCGTGAGAGGAAATCCTAAGGTACCATTTTTTTAGCACAGTAGTTAAATTAAGAATTAATCCCAAAGTCCCTCTTTTGTATTTGCCATGCCATAACTAGAAGCAGACCTTCTAACTGCTATCGGCGTCTTTTTCTGGGATACGGAGGAGGGTGCAGGGTAGTGGTCGTGAATAATTATACTATTTAAATGTATGAAAATGTTTATATTTCTTTACTGAGTAAGGGATTCTAAGGAAAAAACCAAACCACCTATTTTAAAAAGAACTGAGAGATAAGGAAACAGAAGTAATATGATGTCACCTGAAAAATTAGGTGCTAATATTGATGCATCAAGTTTTCTGTAATAGTGTAAAGCAAATGATGATACTGTAACACAAGGCAGCATACAAAATGTGCTGTGATAACGGCACAGGGTACCAGGAAGAGAGAGGTTGCATTTGGTTGAAGAGCTTTACAAAGGGTTCATGTTGTTGGCACTTGAAAAGAGCAACAAATTAATGAATGTTGCCCATAGGGCTGTCTGCCCCTGTTTGGCACTGAGGGAAAGTGCCCTAGAATTTGGAAAAATTGCAGACATCAGTATTTTTTCTGCATGTACCATAAGCAGATATCGAGAAGTCAAAAGGGGAAGCCAGGCTGAGGATTGGAGGAAACTGCTGAATCCATATTTAATTGGAGGTGATGTTGGTACTTTCCAAGTGGGAATGACCAGGAGGCAGAGAAGAGCATTGCGGAGCTTGGGAGAAAGACGAGGGCTGTGACTCTTGTTTTGGGTGACTCAAGCCTGGGGATGCTACATTCCATCCCTTGAAGTTGAAGCTCTAGACAGGAATATCATTTAGGAAAGAGAATAGCGAAGTGAAACATCAAGGACCAAGGTGTGACCCTCAGGGAATGGTCCCATTTGAAAGGCGGGAGGAGGGTAAGGATGTGTGAAGGAGACTGAGAAGTGCTGTCTCTTGGGTCTGAGCAAGACAAAATCATATAAGAGATGGAAGAGAGTGTGGAGGGTGTGCATTTAGAGAAGGAGGAGAAGGCATCATGAAAGAGGAGTGGAGGATCTGTGGTATTAGTTGTAGTTCAGAGGTCAAGGAGAATGGAATGACTTACCCAGGCGGTTGGATCATTATTGATCTGGGATTCTCTGATTGGGGTGGATCCATCCATTGCCACTGGATGATGAAAACAGATGTCAGAAGAGAGGCTGAATGGTGAGGAGTCATAAGCAGCCCGAAAGAATTAGAAAAAAATAACAGGAAAAAGAAGTAGAGAAAATCGGGGGGGGGGTGGTGACACCTTACAGGGATTCTCTGAAAACCACTGAGCAACATACACTCTCTAGGATGAGTAAACCTATGGACCTATATATCAAATTTAAACATAACTGAATCTGGGAAGATTGCCTCCGGGCTGTCCCCTGAACAAATCCGGCTTGCTTCTGCAGAACTGTTCATTTGCTTTCTTGTCAAGCATTAAGTAGAATTTGTTTTGAGAGAAACAAGTGCTCAAGTTGTTATGGATTTCTTAGATGTAGCATTTTCTTTCTAAGCCATGCTTTAAAATTCTGTCACTGGCTTTGATGGTCTATCATTAGACTAAGTACAGGTATGTTTTGACCTAATGTGCTTCAATCTTCAGCCCAAAATTACCTGGATGAAAAACAAGGTTGCTATTGTGGATGACCCAAGGTACAGGATGTTCAGCAACCAAGGGGTCTGTACTTTGGAGATTCGCAAGCCCAGCCCCTATGATGGAGGCACTTACTGCTGCAAAGCAGTCAACAACCTTGGGACAGTGGAGATTGAATGCAAACTGGAAGTGAAAGGTATGACATCCCAGATCTCATGTAGACTGAAATGAAAGGAAATAATTTAATCATTGTCCTTCCTGCAAAATCCAGATTGCTTGCCAACATTCCTGGGGTGGGGAAGGAAGAGGGGAAAGATAGGGGAGAGTAGACATTTTCACATTCTGCTTTCACTCTGATTTATTTGTGTTGCTACTTGATTATTTAAGTAGACTTACTTTTATCTCTTGCAATTCTTGTTAACTAAAGGAATATGGATTTCAATGGATTGTGGTATGTGCATAGCATAGTGACAGTGTATAAAGTCAAGGGGGTATTATGTTGGTGATGTAATCCATCTTAATAGATAAATAGAAGCCTAGTGTAAAAACTCATCTAATGAAACTACAATTAAGGAATTTACACTATTTTAAATTAGTTTACTATTTTTGTGAAACTTTCTATATATAAAGTTTGCTAATTTAGTGTTTAATATTACACATGCAGAATTTAGCATACACATATTATAACCTGTTCCTTTTAAAATCTCACGGGAGAATGTCCATTTATAGGTATGCATTTCATTTATACTAGTTTTCAGAGGTGTTACAACTAATGTAAACCAAGAAAACACAAAGATTTATGTGGTAGAAAAGTCTCAGTATAATTGTCATCTTAATCAATTTTCATATTAATTGAGTGTAATTTTTATACTGAAGTGTTTTTTTTTTTGAGCAAAAAAACCTACTTTGGGACACCATGAAAACTCCTACAGCTGAGTCACTGTTATGAGCTAATAGGTTACATGACCCTAATGTCTTTTCTCTCATTCTTACTGTATTATATTGCCAACTTGTGATAACCAAAATCCTTATTTTTCCTACCTCTCTATAATGAAGAAATTATAATCTAAAATGAGAAAGATACCTTTGTATCTGTTTTAGAAAAAACACAGTAAATGCTTAGGGTATTTCTGTAAAAACAACAACAACAATAAAAGAGATTTTCAGTCCTAACTCTAGTGTAAATATAGTAGAGAAACTTCTTGAAAATTTTTTTCCTTCTATAACTTTAAAAACCCAGTATTGTTTCTTTTATGATTTTTTTCATCCTCAGATAGTATAGTATAGTAGATTCATGATTGATAGGAAAATTTTTTTTTTCATTTTTTGCCTCTCAAATATAAAGCATTTAACATTCTTAGAAAATTTCAAACCTTACTATTATGCCTATAGTAAGAACTCTTCTGAGTTCCAAGTTACGTTGGTACTTGTTTCAACATTTAAAATATAAAACAAAAAACGAAAACCCAGTACCACTTCTGTGTGCTTTGAAAATAACTGAATGTTGCCAATGATAGAAAATAATGATTTCATAAATGGTTCAATATTTGGGGCCCTCCATGTAAGTGAATAATGTTATGCATATTAGTGATATATTCTTTATAGTAATTGTATAGTAAATTGTATAGTAACTGAATTCAATAACATAAATAACATACTCTGGTACATAAGTTCATAAGTTATCAACTGAAATACTGGTATGAGCTTTTGGTTCCAAAAGTAAAGCCAAGATTGTTTATCATCAGATTGTTATCTGAAAATAGGTGACTTGAATCAAGTTAAGCTGTGAAAAAAAAAAAAAGGTAAGACTGTCAACCAAGAATAAATAAATACTGGTGCAAATATTCTAATTCTGCAGTGATATATCAAGGAGTAAATACCCCTGGACAACCAGTCTTCCTGGAGGGGCAGCAACAGGTTTAAAAAGTTCATATCCCACTGGATATTTCTTCTTTCTGTTCCATTCCTCTTACATGAAATCGCACTTTGCATGTAAAGCTTGTCTTTCTCATTTGCTTTTAATTGTGTTTCTTAGCAGCTCATGGCATACAGTGGTTATGCCATGAACAAGGAAGGCCAAATTATTCAAGGATACTAGGTCACATAGGAACTAAGTTTCGTGAGAAAACTAAGTACCGTACCACAGGTCCCCATAAATAAAACCAGAAACTCGTATTTGAAGATGACCTCATTTTAGATATGACTATCAAAATTTGAGAATCAATGGTATTTCTTTGGTATCTTCATTTTCAAGTGTAGAGAGAGATGTTCTTCCTTTAAGTTAGTCTCCAGTGTAGGTTTATTAGACTCATGTTGAAATTCAGAAAACTGAACATTTTTAAATTGTGAAGTTATAGAAAAAGTGTTCTGGGCATTTTTGATGGGGAGATGACCCAACTAAAAACATTTGAAATATTTGGCTCTAATATTTGGAAACTTTCATATTTAAGATTTTCCAATGAAAAATTCACTAGTAGACTATCTATAACCCATATATCTGTTGAATATTTTTGGTATTTTCATGGGACCAAGATTATTTCATATATTCATGCACTTACAAGACAATTCTGGGCCCCATAACTAAATATATTGAGTGATGACTGAGTCTTACAGTCTATGTATGATTCACCCCCATCTGGAAGAGTGAATTTAGAAGGTCTTTGGGGTTGGGTTGACAACCTGATGTGAATGCTAATGACATAGACTTATGCCCAAGTTTATAGTATTTGCCCTCTGAATTCCCAGAGATAATGTCAGCTTTCAAAAGAGGAAAGAATTAGGACTCTTTCTCTATAGTTTTTAGGGTATCTGTAGAGTCACTTTCTAGCCTGTTTAAGCCTTGTGTTTATTTAGGTCAGTCATATACTGTCAGTTTAGAATATAATATTATAGAATATGCCGGTCTAATTTTTATATCCACTTGATAATTTTGCCTTTTAGAATTTCAACATATATATATGTATACTAATGCTTTGTCTATTGTCCATGTTTTTCTTTTGTTGAAAAACAAAATATATATATGTTGTAGGATTTGTTTTTTTTTTTCAGCTAATGGTTTGGAAGCTCTTACCATAATTATTCACTGTAGAGTCCAATGGGCTCTGCCACCTGTTCAGGCAAAGTGGTTGTGCATATTAATAAATGTTTTACCAATTAATGATCCTTTTGAAGTGACTGGATCCCTTCCCTTCCTTCCATGCGCTTCATTTTCCTGTATTTTTCACCTGACTAAGGATTAATGAAATCACCTCATCATAATCATGACCATAATTTCATCCAGCAAGTACTCCTTTTGGTCTTAGCACTTCATTAATGCTTACAACGTCTCTCTCTCTCTTTCTCTCTCTTTTCCTTAGTTGTAGCACAGTAAGGATTTTTGAATGTGTATTATCATCTAAGGTAAGCTTTCATATGGTTTTGGCATATGAAGCTTATGACTGTCATAAGCCATACAAAGCCTGTGGAGTATGGCATGATTTTCATTATGTAATCCAATGAAAATAGACTCTTTAAGATCTCTAACGTGGTAGTTCTAATGTGTATTTCAGCATCTTGCACTAACAGCTAGTACTTACTCATCACAACAAGCTCCTGTTGACATGAAGCAAGTTGTTGAATGCAGTAGAGCATGAACGAAATCATTTAATGTAGATGAAAATGAGTGGTACTCAAGCATTCTGAACGCTTTGCATCAAGGAATGGACATGTACATACGTGGCATCATTTCTACCAATATGTGACTTGAATTTTTTTTTAAAAAAAGGAGAATGACTTTCTCAAATTTGCATTAAAGAAATTTTAAGAATGTTCAAATGGCATGCTGTTTTTGTCTGGACGTGAATTTATTAGCAAGTAGTGAAACACTTCTCTAAAGGACCATGAATTTTTCTGGTTTCATGGGTTCTCTTGTGAAGGGTACTTTTATTTTTTAAATATAACTCAGAACCACAGAAGGTAAGTATAAAATGTTAGTAGGTGTTTTTCTTACCTTAGACAGGTTTTATTATTTTTTTTCCTTTAAAAAATTTTTTATTGATGTATATTGATGTACAATATTATATAAGTTTCAGGAGTACAACATAGTGATTCAGAGTTTTTAAAGGTTATACTCCATTTGTAGTTATTATAAAACAGACTTTACTATTTTTAACAAAATATTTTCAATTTTTGCACATTTGACAAAGTTCAAGGAGTAGTCCCTTTTTGTTTTTCTTTTCCGGTGTCCTTGCATCGGAACTCTTTGAACTTAATTAAAAAGAACATTAACAAAGGAAACAGTGCTTCTGCTGATTCATAACATGATTTGCATTGGTTCGGCCATTCAGTCAGAACACTTAAATTGTCTATAGAAGAACCTCAGAATCTGTCAAAGAGCAATAAATACTTTCCCACCAGTTAGGAATTTAAACTAAGACTGAGTAACAGTGGGGAACAAAGAAAGGCTATGGGTCTGCGGGGAACATGTTTTTCCTTCTAGATGCCAAGTGCTTTAGATTCAAATGTACTAAACCCGGGAGATTTCCAAGTAGAGACTGAATGAATCTTTGTAACTAACTGGAACATAATTAGTCACATTTCCAGGCAGCTAGTCAAGAAGTATTATTTCAGGGATTTTTCACGTGTAGACGGTTTTGACTTTGCTTTTTCCTTCTCATCCTTTCTAGGTGGTCTTTCCTTCTGCAGGCTCCTCTTGCAAGGTGTGCCTCCTAACATAATTGATTCGTATTTGCGAGACTTGCAATCAAGCAATCCCGAGGAATAAGGGCCCAGGCACTGCCTCTGCACTCTACTGCTTTGAAATCTGGTTGCCATGAGAAAGCATTTTCTGTGTTTCCACCAGGCTCCCAAGTGTGATCGCTTTCTTTCCTTCTAATGTTGAAGAAAAAAAAATGTTTGCACGGATTGCTTAATTAAAAATTGCAAACAAAATCTCATTTGAAGTTAGCTTTTTGATCATTGTTGTCTGTGCTTGGTCACTGTGTTTCCCTAGAAAAGCAAGCTAGAGAATAAGCAAAAATAGTTACTTTATTTTAAAATAATAGGCTCTAAATGCTTTTTCCCCCCAGAGTAAAGAAACAGTACAATACACCATAATGGAATCTTGAAAATCCATCTTTCTTTTGATCTAAGAGATTTTTTTCGAAGCAAAAAAGAGTTGTTTATTGCACACAACCTGGCTTAACACCAGTGGACCTGTGTGTGCCCTTTTCCCAATTTAATTCACTGCAAGACTTTTTAAAAGTCTTTCAGACAAGTTTTCTCAACAGAAGGGAAAATGTATTCTACAAATGGTGCAATAAATCTGAAGTGTTTATGATGAAATGACAGTATTTGTTTATGTGTTTGGGGTTACATGATCAGGCAGAGAACTGAGGACAAAGGCTGGGAGCCAGGATGCTACCAAAGTCAGGCCTGACCCAAATCATGTCTGTGGCACAGCATGCTGGCCAAGTCTACCAGACTTCCTGCCAAAACAGCTAGTCACAGTAATGGAGAGTGGTTGTAGACTCCAGAGCAGTTACAGATTTAGAGTTTGTTGATGGCATCCATTCAGATTGATGGAAAATCTAGAAGCTGAGAAACATTTGTACAAGCCTGTAATCTTTTCAGCAACATCCTTCACTCTTTCTGTTGTTACAGAGAAAGTTTCAGTTCAGGGAGTGGAGTAGCTGTGTGAGTAGGGTACCACATTATCATTGCTTTCTCTCTTACCTTCCTCCCTTTCATTCTTTTGGTGTTTTGTTGTTCTAGGAGCTAAATACATTGTGACCTATAAGTAGACTACAGCGTCCTGGGACAGCATTTTAAAATATCTGCTCTGTTTCCTTTCCAGATTAAAGCTGGGAAGATGTGATGGTGGTCAGGCACCTGGGTTGATGTGGGGCTCATGAAGGGAAGGAGTGGATGATGCAGGTAGTCGCGGTACTTTGGGGACCAACAAGGGAAAACTCGAGGTCTTGTTCAAAGTCTGGTGTATGTGTTATTATCAATGTATATAGATCACACTAAGATGGAGTACAGGACATGCCACATGATTTTACTTTTCTAAATCAAATTAAATATAACTCTGAGCTCCCCACCAGCCAGGGAGACTGAGAAATTCTCTGTCCTGCTTCGGGGTCCTACCTCAGGCTCTGGATCAACCAGAATCTTTCCTGGTGCCTAGAAAGTGGAGAGAAGGAAAGGCCTCTGGTTTTCAGGCTACACTGGTGACTGCAGAGAGGCCCGTGGTCCAAGCCAGTGTAGTCCAGCCAAAGACAGGTAACTCTGAAGCTTCCTTGGCAAGCGTGGACCTGGAGTCTTCCAACCTCCAAGGCCAGAGCATGGCTGTTTACATGCTACTTTTAAAGATGTTTTTGTGGGAAGACTGGACAGTTCTACCACTTACTATTAGCCTTGGACTTGGGCAAGAGGGACCACTACACTCTGGCCCTCCTCCAACCATTATCTCCCTCCGCAAGGCAGGGAGGCCATGGAGCTCAGGGGATGTGCCCACTTAGAACCCTTACCACAGAGTTCCCTCTACAGGAAGGGGGCTTCCTGTAGACTATACCCAAGTCTACTTTTAGGGACCCGTGGGCCTTCTCCCTGGGTCCAAACCCCCAAGGAAGAATCATGTGACCAGTATATACACCCTGAAGCCCAACAGGTGGCTTAGAGGCACCTGTTTGCAGTTAGGGGGATGTAACTAGAGCTTGTGCAAGAGGCGGGGCATCCACACACATGCACCTGAGGCCCCTCATGGTTTGGGGCAAGAGGGAGCAGGGTGGGAAGCACAGGGAGACCCAGGACTGGCAGTGAGCCACAATATTCTGGCAAGTATCTCTGAAGAATCTGGTAATTCTGTATTCAAATCTGGCCTTCCATGTCCTTATGAAGGTATCCCCATAAAAATTCGAGGATGCAACTATTTTATTAACCTTCTGTTAGCTTGGTTTATAACTTCTAAATGTCTATGTATATAAGCCATGAAAGTGAGGGGTCATCAGCCCCCAACCACCTCTGTTCCCATCCTCCACCATCTAACATTGCTCTCACCACTCCATCACCGCTTCCTTCTCCCTGCTCACCAAACTCCAGGCCTGACCCTCCATCTGCTTCCTCACTTAATTCCTTTCAATGGAATTCTAGAAATACAAATTTAGCCTCTTTTTCCTAGGAGAGGAGAGTAAGGAAGAAGAAAACAAGATAGTCCTCTTCCCAACTCTCCCTATAACATTACTTGATTCTAAATTGAACTCTACATTTGTTTTATTTCCTTATTTTAGCTGGGTCACTAATTACCATCCTTGTACCAAAGATTCAGCTGATTGGTATGGGTAGGTATTTATAAAATCCTTTGTAATTAAACTTTGATAACTTAGAATGGACTGGAGAAACAAACCCACTAATGGAATGACTAGTTCTCCTGATGCTAAGGGCTGTCACCACCCTCTTAAATTCAGTTGATGATCTCTGTCTGTCCCCAGACGCCCTGGCTTACACAACCTCTGGCCTAGCTGAATATTTTTCTTCTATCTGGAGTAGATTACAGGGACAGAATTCCAGGGAGGTAGCAAGGCAGTTAAGCACTCCCCAAGGGGTCACTCAGTGTGACTTGGGGCACTGGCTGACTCACATCTTTAAAGGCAAAAACCTTGCACTCAAGTGCATAATTGACCATAACTTCTTTTTCTTCCAAGAAATAGCTTTAGAGAGACTCTTTCTGTTCTTTGTAGATAAACACACAGGCAAGAGATTCCCGCCTTCCAGTATTCTACTCTTACCTTCATCCTAGTCTTGGAGACCAAGAAAACATCTTTAAGATGTCATACACCAATTTAAGAATCTTGGCTCAAAATTTTTTTTAGGTTAATGAAAAAAAAGAAAAAAAATAATTATCCAGACTTTGTAAGGCACCCTCTTGGACAACTGGGACAAAGAGTAATTGGAAGGGAGCCATGTTTCAAAATAAATCAAAGTCGACTTGAAGTCATGTGGTCATTTGGAAAGTTCCAGGCAGTAGAGAGCCAAATAATGTGTCCCCTGCAGGCTATGGGATGAATTCCCATTAGGCTGGTCATCCACTGGGGGTCACTGTAATTTAGTTCGCATTCCTGCGCTAGGAGGTACCACTATGTGGGAGGCAGGTGGGGTAATGGTGGAGGTTGCCAAGAAGGGCAGAACCTCTCTATGTAGGGTTATTTTTATGTACTTCTTGATAGTTCATGGTTAAGGCTCAAGAAACTAGCAGTAGAAGCAAGACTTCAATTAGTGAGACAAGTTGTTCCTTGGGTCTTTTCATGATTATCAAGTCCTCATAGTGGCCAGTATGGACTCTGACCCAAAGTCTGCCTTTAGTAACTCCACTCCCTGAGGAAGTTAAGCAAGAGTGATGGACCAACTGGGAGGGTGTGGCAAGAAAGGGCTCAGTGAAGGCCAAGACCAAGGATCACCTCAAGTAGGAAGGAGGAAAGGAGGAAAACACATTATTATTTGGACAGAGGGAAGGGCAGTTAAGAGCAGCGAGATGAAGCTAGAAACAATGTCACTGGACAAGGAACTAAAGAAAGAGGAAATGGCAATGAGAAAAGTCAATAATAGAAGGGAAAGAGCACCTGCTTCTGTGCTTCACAGGCATTATCTCAGTCACAGGCTCCTCACCCTGTCCACCTCCGCTGCATCCCCTTTGGCAGAAGAAAGGAAAACCTGGCACAGGGTGTGAAAGCACAGCCTTAAACCACTGCCACAACCCCTCATATACGTATTCATTGAAGTTTATCCACATGTTCTTCTCCAGGATATGTGAGTTATTTAATAGAAAAACAATTTTTTCTTCCCAGATCTTCAAAGGGATGTTGTTTCAGGTATATTGTCAGGGAGTGAAAGATATCCCAGTCTGGGAAGCCCAGCATGATGTCAGAAAAGTCTCATCAACAATGAACAGCCAACACCCTCACTGAGGACCAACAAGCAGATCTCAATTCCACTATAGATAGTATTACATAATCAGTTTATATGTATACATATATTAAAAAATAGAAAATTTTAGTATCTGTCTATCTATCCATCCATCCCTTCTTTGCCTGGAAAGAACAGGCTTAAGCAACATTAAGTGAGTCAACTTGGTCTTTCTCATCCTTTAATTGTGCTCAGCTGTGTCTCTCCTCAATCTGTCTCATCCAACTTCCACCTGGGGCTCATGAGACCTGCTCAGAGCCATGCCTCCACCCAAACCTCCTAAGACTGAATCTGCTTCAGCCCCTTTGCTCAAAATGTGGCCAATTCCCTGCAGCATCGGCATCACCTGGGAGCTTGTTAGGACTGAAACTCTCCCCTCCGCTCTCATGCTCCAGATCTGCTAACTCGAAACCTGCATTTTAACAGGATCTTCAGATGATTCGCGTTGCAGGCTCGTCTGTGTTGGAGAGGTACGGCTCCCACCCTCTTTGTCTCTAGTTCCTGGCATGACTATTTATTTGGAGTCATTCTCTTTCAGCTGTCTCAGAGGAAAAGATACTCTGATTGAAGTATCCCTTCTAAAGTATTCCTGATAGTGACCTAACCCAACGTGGAAATGTGACCTACCCTGCTCATCCCAAACCCCAACCCAAAGACAGGAGTAATTCATTGTGGGACTTGAGACATGCCAGATTGCCCTAGAAGGAATTTTTCAGGAAAGAGATTCCTTCTAATGCTCCTCAAATTGTACCATGGAAAACATTGTAAAGCAGTAGGATGAGAACTCAGAAAAGAATAATAGAAAATCGTTAAAGGATATAAATAGGACAGACTGCTAAGAACTGTGTCTCTGAGGGAAATCAGTTTCCTTAACCCTCAACTGATTTCGCAACTTCAGATAAAAAGCACAATTACAACATCTCAGGGATACTATTGTGAAATTTGGTTTTCTGATCTTGTCCCGGAAATTAGGCATTTTTAGAGAGGAGAGCAAAGGTTTTCAT